GTATTTTTATAGTCTTTATTTTACATTTCAAATATATGTTTATTAAATAAATTCTAATGTTACAACTAATCAGGAATCCCTTTAAAAAGACTTTCCACAATGACTAATGGGGCACTTCTCTGTGTGAGCTGGTCGACTAGTCTCTGTTCTTCCTGTTCTGCAGGACAGAAGCCTTGCAGCTGGGTGACTGTGGACAGGAGACAGCTCTCATTAATAAACTGACAGACGGCTCCAGAGTTTTCCTGACCCGAGAGGAGAGTCAACACTTCCTCAAAGAGTCAGTATGTCTTCCTTTGGTTGTTGTTTGTTCTCTTGTGAAACGCAGCTCAGTTTCTGCTGTATTTCATCTTCCAGGTGCTCCACTCTGAACTGTGAGGTTGTGGTGGAGCTGCTCTCCAACAAGCTCCAAGATCAGTTATCTGCTGTTAAGATGGTAACAATAATTATGACTCATTACTGCTAAGGTTTTCTTTAGAGTTGTTCCCRCTGTAATGTTATATTCTAAACTCGCAGCGGGCTCTGTGTGCCGTTTCATGTCTCATGACGTCCGACCTTCTTTCCCTGGAACAAATCTACGGAGCCACTCAGCGCAGACTTGGTCAGCTGAGCGAGGGCCCACCGGGGCCTGTGGCAAACAAAGCTACCAAGGTAAGAGGGCAAAGTAAGAGCAAGCTGAGGACACGTAAGATAAAACCACTCCAGATGAGGTAGCATTCTTATCTCCTCCTAACAGATCCTTCGACTGTTTGAGGCGCTCATGGGTGGAGCTCAGCATGCTGCCAGGCAGGAGGCAGTGAACAGCAGCCATCAGGCCACAGCTAATCAGGTTCACACGACCGATAACTCCGAACTTTTTCAGTCTGRGTCTGTAGATGTGGTCCTAACACCAAATCATCCACCTCCTCCTGATCTGGACCAGGCTTGGAGAACAAAGGAGCTGATAAATGCTCCTGAAGAGGAGAAGCTCTTCGTCACTCAACAAGAGTTGGTAGAAAATCCAGTAGAGCTCGTCAGGACTGCGGGTGTAAAATCGCCCTCTGCAGATCCAGAGCTCTTCGAGGACAGACTGTCCCCTGAGCCTGAGCCGTCCAGCCTGAGCAGACTGTCTCTGTTCAGGGGCATGGAGCTGATCACCAAGGGGAGGGTGCTGTGTGGAAGCGATACGCCACAGACTGGGGTGGATAAAACAGACGATAGCTTAGAAGCCGTTCAGAACCCCGACTCATCTGTGGCTTCTGTTCAAACCAGCCAGGAAGTCGCTTCTAGTTGTAACTTTGTTGCGTCTGATAAACCGCAGCCAGTATCTGCTTTCTCATTTCTCAACTGTTGACAAATTGTGGAGCTGGGACTGTTTTAACAACGATGTCATTATGTTTCGTTCAGTTCTTGTTTTTGTTTTGTTTGTTTTTTTCTCGTTTGTTTCGATCTGCTAAATTGTAACTACAAGTATGTGATTATCAGAGGAGCATTTTTAATGTGTTTGTTTCATCAAAAGCTGTTCTAAAACAGCAAACTGAGTCAAGAGCCAAAAATTTGAAACTTATAAGTGTTCTTTTTGTTTGAGTTCCCACCAATCTATCAGGCCAAGGAAAGCTCTAAGTTTTCTTCATTGGCTTTGTTCAAAAAAACTCTTTTTTTTTCTAAATGTGGTTGTGTTAAATTCAAGCTGGAAAGCTAAACAATGACACTGGATGAGAACCAACTCTGTGACGTTCTACATTATATAATGTTAAGAAGAGCAACAATCTGTAAGCAGAGGGCGAAATAATTATTTGATTCCCTGCWGATTGTGTAAGTTCGCCCACTTGCAAAGAAATGACCAGTCCTAATTTTTTATGTTAGTTTCATTTGAGGGGAAGAAAAATAATRTCTACTAAAAATGCAGAGGAAAACACATTATGTAAAAGGAAAATTAAAGATTTTCCAATCATTTAAGGAAATAAGTATTTGATATCCTAATCAACTGCAATTTCTGTATTTTTCAGGTAATTCTTCCCCCGAATGTTTAGTTGATTCTATCTTCAGTAAAATTGAACTGTTAGAACATTTTGAGACTTACAAAACCTTCTATAATGATTACAACTTCTAGATCAGGGCTATTCAACTGGCAGCCCGCAGGCCACATCCGGCCTGCAGGTGATTTCACTCTGGCCTGCCAATGAGATTTTAATTCATTAAATCAAAAAATAGATTTTAGATCAATTTTAAATGTATGATTCAATGCAACAAAAATAAAAAAAACTTAAAAGTTTAAGGATAATTATTCTTTTACAAAATGCAGTGTTCTCCCTACCATTACTGCTCAACCCACCACCATCCTACATATCTGACCCCTGAGCATTTTAACTGGATAACCCTGTTCTAGATGTGTTAGCTTTCACTTTTGGCTTTGGCTCGGTTTGTTTTGTGGTACTTTTGCGCATCATTGTGTTTTTATTTAGTTCAAGGTAGACTTTTAATCTTTGATTTAACACGTTAAAATATGTCATAATGTTAGGAATCTAACAAAATGAAACAAAACAAACAAACAAAGATTATCTGCAAACACAATTTAGCTGGTATTCAAMGAAACCTCAGTCAGACTGAAACATAAATTTCCCTTAAATCAGTGAAGCGCCTGCCTCGAGCTGTTTTAAAAACAGATGCAAGTTTTCCTTTTAAAACCTGAGTTGGTCTAAGATGAACTCAGTTTAGCACTTCACAGTGTTTGCATTGCCTCGGCCCATTATTATGAAGTGTTCAGACTGAAATGTGGATATTTGGTTACACAACTTGAGCTTGCAGATGATGTGGATTCTATAAAAGATTCTTGGAAATGACAACAACAAACCMTTTAATCTTTGTTGTACATGTGGGTTGACCGAAAAGAAATAGGACCTTGACCTTGGTGGAGGATGAAACTGAAGGTACCTGACTGATTCATCACTCTTTGTTTCCTGTCGTCTTCATGAAGTGTTCAAACAGACGACAGCTGCTCTTAGTGTCGGATGAATTCACCGTTTTYTCTTTTTAAACGGGGACATAAAGTCCTCTGATCCCTGTTTGTTTTCCAGTTGATCAAATATGTGCAGAAAACATAATGTTTTGGCTTCATGAGCAGCACTCGAAGCTTTCTTTATCTCAGGATTCAGTTAAAGTACCAACCTACACCTCTGCAGCATGTTGTGAACCTCTGGAGAACCTTCCTGTTTGGAATTTGCACTACAGATGCTCTACTTGTAAACTTAGACCTATGAATGAAAGTTGTCTTCCATACATGTTTTTTTCTTTTTTGGTACTAAGACAAATGTTGGTGTAAATTTTGTTAGTTTCTAATTAATATATTTATTATGTCTATTCTGTATAAATAGACACCAGAGGTTGTAGAGTGCATGATTTAAAACTACCACTGACAGAGGAGTTTGTTATTAAGATATTCCTTCATCAGTGGAGTAAAAACATGTTTGATAAAATATGTTAAAATGATGTTGCTGTTTCTGTTTAACAAGTTTTCTTCTTATTGCAGTGTTGACTACCATGTAGTGTAGCCCAAACAGTAAAACTACAACGAATACCACAAGCCATGACAATAAAACATGCTGTATTTTTTGTTACAGCAACACCTAATGGATTAATCTCAATATGTTTTATTAATCTTGTTTATTTGGTCTAATCCAGTTGTTTCTAAAACTAAAGTGAGACATCACTTTGGGTCATGAAGCATGAAAGATGATCTCCATTTTACTAACATTTCTACAAAATGTAATCAAACTATTGCTAAATGATGCAGTTAAGACTGTTGTGCTTTCTTTTTAATAACAAGCAAGATTAGTATATTTAAATCAGGGTAACATTACATAATACAGCCCAGTACTACAGTATGTGTGTACCTGGTATTCAGAGGGATTTACCCTGTATAGGTACAAAGCAGTATTATGCAAGTGATCAGAGTTGTAAAGTAACTAAGTAAAAATACATCTTTACTGTACTTAAGTAGATTTTTTGGGTATCTGTACTTTACTTGAGTAATTATTCTTCAGCCYACTATTTACTTTTACTCCTTACATTTTTACACAATTATCTGTACTTTCTATTTCTTACATTTTTTTAAAAGGTAAGAAGTAGAAAGTCATTACTCCTATTTCATTACAGCTTAAACTTATATGTGTGTGTGTGTGTGTGTGTGTGTGTGTGTGTGTGTGTGTGTGTTTTGAGGATCTCACCTCCCAATAAATGTTATTTTGGGAAGTCTATCCACTCATTTTTACTCCATACTTTTGCGTCTTATGTCACAAATTTACTTTTGATACATAAGTACAAAATATACTAGAAACTTTAAGACCTTTACTCAAGAAATATTCTTAGAGGAGACTTGAACTTTTACCAAAGTAATTTTATGGTAAGATACTTGTACTTTTATCAAGTATCACTTTCAGGTACTTTATACAACACTGCAGGGTCTCTAGCACTTTGTGGGTCAGAGGCTGGTACCTATAGTGTACATCCCTCTAAATACCAGGTACATACAGTCTTGGCCTTGTGACCGGTCTTGAGTACTACAGTACTATTGCTACCTAAACAAGCAATAGAATGGGATTATGAGCCTTTGTGAGTCTCAGGCTAAATAATTTGAGATTCACAAAGTTTTTTCAAACTTTTTAAGTCAAAGGATTTCGAAAAATTCAAAAYCAGTGAATCACTTTCACATCTCCTTTTATTTGCAACACAGTGTATTGGTCAAACTAGACCACCCATAAACATGTATGGCTGAGAGGTTTGACACACCTACACACACAATGTGTAAAATGTAAAAGATGTAAACACTCGGTCGCTTTAAAACAACACTGTGCTCCTTTGTTTTCGTCAGAAGCACTCTGCTGGATACATGGCTGCCCRAGCAGCAGAACCCAAGGCCTGTTCRCTGTCTAAAATTAACCAAAAGTCTAATTTAAGGTTGGATTTTGGCAGCAAGATTCAGTTCCTGTTCYCTGTTACCTTCAACCCACTGGTGTACAACACCTATGCTTAAATATGAGAGCAAAAGAATAGTGGTTATCTGTAAACCTTTGATTAAATGAAAATAAATAAAAAGGCTAAAGTGTTATTTAAACTGACTTGCTGTAAAATTCTCCACAAAGTAGATTTAGTTGACCCCCCCCATCAAAGCTTCTATTATACAAACATACATCTGACCTTTTCTGGTCATGAAAGAATTATTGAGTAAAGTGCAACACTTTATTTAAATCCACAAGCACTTTGGATCGTCATAACATCTTTTTGTCATTAGCACCAATGAAAATGTCCACGCACGCGTGTAAAGAGAGTAAGTCCTCCTAATAAAGTGCACAGGGTGTGTACACACTTGCACACAGACACACACACACACACATCACTACTGCACAGAAAAACCACAGTGGCTGGACCATGGAAAGGTGGATGTGCTTATGGTCTCAAAATGATACATGGTGAGGTGGAACCTCCCTGGTCCTCGTCCCTTTCACGCCGGACCCCAGCGGCGTCGCGTTGAGGCTCTTCGGGGGAGGGGAGGGGTCGTGTCAGAGGTGTCGGCAYCGATGAACGGCGGACAGAAGATCAGGAGAGGTCACGCGGGGTCACGGTCATGTCGAGCTCTGACGCCCTCGGGTCTGCAGGCTGCTGAAGTGCGCCTCCCTCAGGACTCTGTTGATGTAGACGTAAGGGACACCGCCGCCGTGCTGCACGGAGCTGGCGGGGTCTTCGTGGGTCGTGCTGGTGCAGGTGTCCTGGCTGTGGACGTACGGCCTGGTGCTGGCCTCCGTCGCTCTCTCTGGACTGCTGACTCCATTGCTGCTGTCGCTGCTGGAAGACTGCAAAACAGAGGAGAGAGAMGAAGGCTTCATGGATGGAGGATACAACACTCTGACCGGTGCGCTTCCTGAGAAGCGCTGGGCCGCAAAAACGACAAAAAACTAAGTAAACTTATGGTCAACACGCTTTTCAGTGTCACCTCCGAGTCCAGATCTGATTCGAGCGGACAGGGACCCCTTCCTGACCTCTTGGCCTGAGGTATCAGCTGTTGGTCTTCGATGCTGTCACAGCTACAGTGTCGCTTCCTGCACCAAACAGAAATGGAAGGAACTGAGAGATTGTGTGACAGAAATACTGCAGGGAGGGGAGGGGAGGGAGCAGCAGGAAGAGAGGACATGGAGGAACCAAAAATAGAAGCGCACACTCAGGCATGTTGCACTGTCATAATACCAGAACACACATGTCTATAGCAAGGTCCACACAGACATATGAGATTAAACCATAGTGTTTAACTACAGTGACGCAACAGATCAATGAAATTATGATGATCTTACCTGTTATCAGTTAACATTTCTGCAATGGGGACGGATGGCTTTTGGTAGAAAMCCGATGGACACCTGTTTTAGGCCGACTTAGGGGTAAGGATGTGTGAAAGCTTCAGCTCAGTGTGGCTAACCCTCCCTCATGGGTCCTGAGGTGCTCCGGCGTGTGTGTGACAGCTACAACCAGCCGGTTCTTCTAGGCACAGCTCGCGACACCAACCTCCTCCTCCTCCTCCTCCTCCGGGGTTTGATTCAGTCCCGTTGTTCTTTCAAAACAGACTATCTCTGTGGAGGAGAACAAACTGCTGCTGCAGCTGGGTGTTCCCGATCAGGGAGCGAAATCTCCGCCAACTCCACGCATCGTCATGACAGCAGAGGGAGCAAAAGCTCGTCTGCKGCTATCTGCGCGAGCAGCCGAAGTTCTTCCGCTTTCGTCTTCCACGCGCCGAGCCGCTGCCTGTACGTGACAGCTGTGTGTGGACATTACCTGGACGGTAAACTTAAGAAAAACGATATTTCAAAGTTGTTTAAAGCGAGTTAATGGTTACTTCAGGCCAGGGTCATCTCGTCTGCTGTACTGATACGAAAAACGACTTATTTCCTGTATTTAAGCCCCGCCCCCGTGTTTACGTGAAGTCACGAATATAACTTCCGGTGTTAGCAGCAGCTGCACGGTATGGTTTTGTTTATCTTACAATTTTCAAAAAAAATGATAATGTTTTGTAAATTTATAAACTGCAAAAAAGCAGTAAAACATGATAGATAGATAGATAGATAGATAGATAGATAGATAGATAGATAGATAGATAGATAGATAGATAGATAGATAGATAGATAGATAGATA